TGCCCGGGGCTCTCGTGCGGGCAGGAAAAGCGGGGTACCAGGGGCGATGGGGGTGTACGGGGCACCTGTACGACAGTGGGGCGGCTGGGAGGCAGCTGCATGAGGTGGAGGTTTGGGGGTGTACCTGGGGACTGGGGGCGGCCTGGGGTACCAGAGGCAGGGATGGGCGTGGGGGCCGCCAGGCGACCAGCACGGGGTGTCCTGGAGGATGGGGGGGGGCTCGCCCTGGCCGTAGCCCCGTGCCCACCGCGGGGCCCGTCCGTCCTGATCAGAGCGCCCTGTCGGGGAGCCCGTGGCCTGAGCTGCGGGGCAGCGGCCGGGCCTGCGTGGCCGGGTGTCTGGGGTCACGCGTGGCGTTCCGGGAGACCCGTGGGGCCGGCAGGGAAGGCTCGCCTCGCGCAGGGCGGGGAGGAGGAGGGCGCCCATGGCTCCCAGCCCCCCGCTGCGGGAAGGCGGCGCCTCTCGCTGGAGGCCGGGAGGACGCAGGGCCGGATGGTCGCTCGGCCTGCACCTCACTGGCCCCTCGGCCCCCACGGCCCCGGGAGCGCCGCTTCTGGGTGCCCGGTGCGGGTCAGCGCTGACGCAGGCGCGGGCCCTGAGCTGGCGCAAGCTTGCGTCCACCCAGCTCTTTGCCTGATGGTTCTAAAAACAGAGCCGCCTCCGGTGACCAGGGCTTTCGTCCAGGTGGCGACCCCGGTCTCCCACGAGGCAGACGAGGCTCGGGGGGACCCCGCACCTCCGCCTGACCGTGCGCGTCTGCGTTGCAGGCCCCAGGTCCCGGCTATGGCCGCGGCCACCATCGTGCACGACACGTCTGAGGCGGTGGAGCTGTGCCCCGCGTACGGCCTGTACCTGAAGCCCATCACCAAGATGACCATCAGCGTGGCGCTGCCGCAGCTGAAGCAGCCCGGGAAGTCCATCTCCAACTGGGAGGTGATGGAGCGGCTCAAGGCCATGGTGCACAGCCACCAGTTCTCCACGCTGCGCATCACCAAGAGCACCATGGCCTTCATCCGCTTCGAGGGCGAGGTGGAGAACAAGAGCCTGGTGAAGGCCTTCCTGGCCCGCCTGGACGGCAAGGCCATCAAGCTCAGCGGCTTCTCCGACACCCTGCGGGTGCGCGCCGCCGAGTTCAAGATCGACTTCCCCACGCGGCACGACTGGGACTCCTTCTTCCGCGACGCCAAGGACATGAACGAGACGCTGCCCGGGGAGCGGCCGGACACCATCCACCTGGAGGGGCTGCCCTGCAAGTGGTTCGCCCCGCGGGACTCGGGCTCCGAGAAGCCCAGCGAGGACGTGCTGGTCAAGGTGTTCGAGAAGTTCGGGGACATCCGCCACGTGGACATCCCCATGCTGGACCCCTACCGCGAGGAGATGACGGGGCGCAACTTCCACACCTTCAGCTTCGGGGGGCACCTGAACTTCGAGGCCTACGTGCAGTACCGCGAGTACGCGGGCTTCATCCAGGCCATGAGCGCCTTGCGCGGGATGAAGCTCATGTTCAAGGGCGAGGACGGCAAGGCCGTGGCCTGCAACATCAAGGTGCTCCCCTCCCCACGGGCGGGCGGNGGAGGGTGCGTCCCCCCCATTCCCCCAGAGAACCCCTCAGTCAGGTGCGTGTTTAAAGGGCGCTCGTCCACAGCACGTCTCATCTGCCTTAAACCCGGCTGCCCGGCGTCCCCTGCTGCCCGGTGGGTGCCTCACCTTGCTGCTTGGTTTGCAGACTGCCTGTGGCAGCGGGCCGCGTGCCCTCGCCTGGGATGTCACGCGTGACACTCCGTCTGGTGTCTGGGGGTGCGTCCCCGGCCCCTCTCACCGCCCCACTTGCTTTCTAAGTAATCGCCTTACCGGGGCGACTCCAGACTCCCTGCAGTGCTGGGGATTGCGCTCTCAGGAGGGGCGCCCACAGTGTCAGCAGCCCGGGGGACTGACGGTGCATCACTCGGCCCTCCTGTACGTGTGACCCAAAGCTGCTCCGTCGTGTCTCGCTGGGGCTTGCTAACAGCCCAGCTCCCTGAAACAGCACGGCCGGGGGCCCTGCGCGCCGGCGGGCCAGGCAGGAGATGACTTCCCCGGAGGAGGACCGGGCCTACGGCCTCCTGCAGGAGTACGCCAACGGCTTCATGGTGTCCCAGGTAGGAAGGCGGGGACACGGGGGCCCCTGGGGGCTGTGTCACCACCCACGTACCCCCGTCTCAGAATGACGTTGTCGAAAGCTTAGCGTGAGGTAGGATCACCAAGGGGACAGACACGCAGATGCTGAAATCTTTGGCGCATCTGTGAGGGGCTCCTCCGGCTGCTGGTCTGTTGAGACCGCAGAGCGAGGCAGTGCCTCGAAAAACAGGTGACCCGGAATCCCGCGGGTTTGAACCCCTTTCGTACACGGAGCTTTCTGCAACACGTGCTGTGAATGTCGCTTCTTCTCTGGACGGCTTTCGTGACCCCATTTCAACTTCTCGAGCTCCCTGTGTTGTAAGAATGCCGCGTGTAATACACATAAACACGCAAAATGTGTTCTCATCGACTGTTGATGTGACCGCTGAGGCCTCCGGTCAGCAGGAGGCGCTTAGTAGGTACGTTTTGGGGGAGACAAAAGTTATACGTGGATGTTTCACTGCACGGGGGTGGAGGTGGGTGGGGGGGTCGGCGCCCTTGACCCCACGTTGTTCAAGGGTCAGCTGTGGTGTCGAGGTGTTTAGGTTCATCCAGGACGGATGGAGCAGGCATCTGTGTCTCACCCTTTCTTCTGTCTGAATAAACGCGGGGCTGAGAGGAAGCCGGACACGGAAGGTCACACAGCGTGGGAAGTGTCCCCAGCGGGCAAACCCTCAGAGACGGGGAGCAGATTCGTGCAGTCAGGGGCTGGGGGGTGGCGGTGACGAGTGACTGACTGCTCATGGGGACGCGTGTCCTTCTGGGACAATGTTCTGGAACAAGAGGGGGTGCTGGCTGTCCGACACGGGGAAGTTGCTGGGTACCCCCGAGTTGTTTGCTTTCAACGGTGAACGGTGAATTGTATGCCCCGTGAATTGGAGTCCCATAAAAAAACGGGGCACGACACGTCGGGGTTGGGGTGCCTGGGTGGGGGCGAGACGCACACGCCCCCCCTTTGGAAATGCAGTCAGTTCTGGCTCTGTGTTCGGGGGTGCAGTGTGGAACCCCTGTGCATGTGTAAATGTGCGTGAGTGCACGTGGAGGCACAGCCCCCGTCCCTTGTCCCTTGCTTCGTGGGCTGGGGTGGTTGCCCCCATTGGCACAGCGGGGGTCCTCCAGGCTCTGGGGAGCGAAACTCCAAGGTGCAGAGCACGCAGCTTCGCCAGCTGGCACCTGAACAAGCCGGGGACGCACACACGCCTGGAGCAGGGTGGCAGGTCCAAACCCACCAGCGTCATGGACGCGCGCGGCGCCGATGGCATTTCGAGTTCCCTGCAACACCCAGGATGGGACGTGAAGACAGCCGTGGCTTCTTTTGTCCCAAACCCCGGGAGCTAGGACACTGCGTGGCTGTGCCTCCTTTCGAGGCGGAGGGGGTGCTGACATTCCTTTAACACAGGACACAAGTGGAGGTCCACAGCGCGCCGTGAGCCGTCCCCAGACACCCGTGGGCACACAGAGCTGTTTCGGGGGCATTGGGGTCGGGACGGGGGCGTCCCTCACGGGGAACGTGCTCATGTGTGCTTTCCCTGGCTTGCAGAGGTGGCTCAGCCGTCCTACAAGGTCCCCCGCCGGCTGGGGTGGCCTGCACTGTGTCCCCTGGGCCGGCTCTCCGTGGTGTCGGGCTATCCGTCTTGGGAGGACAATCACCCCGGCACACGTTGATGAGACGCCGCCTTGTCCTGTAGTTGTCACCGGTTTACCAGGACGAGGGCTGGCGCGGCGTGAATGAAATAAAACGTGATACGGGCTGAACATCTCAACACAATTACTACAACTTCAATGGGACAAAGGTGAATAAAACCTTAACACAAGAGTTAATACAATCGCAACGGAGTAAGGGTCGCTGCAACACGGATCCTAACCGAGCAACAGCTGATACGACCTTAATAGAACAAACTTAATGCAACCTTCCTTAGGAGGATAAGCGTTAATACCACCTGAAAACAGCAAGAGGGGATGGACCTTAATACGAGCGCTAATGGAATCCTAACAGAACGAGAGCTAATGAAACCCACGCAGAACAAGGATTGACACGCCTGTAACAAAACAAGACTTCATGGAGTAAAACAGTACGTCCGGCTGTAAGGAAGCTGCTGCTTCGTGCACCTCAGGAGGGTAAGACTCGATCCAGCCCTCACTGGATCACTAATCGAATGGTGATGAGTTTTGGTGTAACCTTAATAGGAAGCGTTGTGGGACTTGAATAGTGATTCTCAAACAGGGACTTGGCCCCCAGGGGACACTTGGCGAGGTCTGGGGACATGTTTGGTGGTCACGCTGCGGAGGGGGTGCTCCTGGCGTCTGGTGGGTTGGGGACCAGGGACGCTGCTCAGTACCCCACGGGGCCCAGGACGCCCCCATCCGAGAGGCGCCCAGCCCCCGGACGTCACTGGTGTGAGGCTGAGAGAGCCCGACTTGAGAGGATCAGACTTAGCCGGAGCTGATTAAGAGGATCAGCATTAGCACAGTGTCACCACAGCCCCCGCCCGCCCCGCCATGCCTTCTGGAGGCCTTGCAGGGTGGCAAAGGGCGGACCGACCTCCTGAGTGAAGTGACAGACGCACGGGCCTTGCATTTATCGCCATCCACGCGCTGTTGAGACGACGCCGACTGCAGGAGTGGCGTTGGACCTGTGGGGAGGCACGTGGCCTCCAGAAGCCATCTTTCGTGGGGGACGTTTATGCGTTCCTCTCTCAGGGTCGCCCGAGCCTCAGCACCCGTCCCGAACAGCGTGTGCCGGAGAGGAAATGCACCGAGGACGGATTAACTCTTTCGACTTCAGGCGTGGTTTCAAGGCATCACCTAATAGCTTCTTGAGATCAGACGGACTAAAAAGAGGAACATCAGCTAAGTTTAACACTCGAGTACCAGTGTGTAGGGAACACTGCTGACATCTTAAAAAAAACCCCAAAAACCAGGAGCACATACGTTTTCTTGTTTGGAAAATGAACACGTAGGGAAGGGTTGTAAGTTCCTGCCCCCACGTTCACCGAGAGACACCAACAGCAGGATTTGGAAAGCTCACGCGTTTGCACGGGCTTGTGTGCGTCCCTCTGCCATTCAGCCAGCCTCCCCTTTGGGGACACTAGATTTCCCCGCCGAGAGCGTTTCTTCCTGGGAACGCTTTCCAGGCTGGCTCTTCCGCAGGGCGTGACGGCAGGTTTGTGGAACAGCATCTGAGGATGGGGGGTGCCGCACACACCCGGACCTGCGCGGCCCCCACATGCTGCACACACCCGGGCCTGCACGGCCCCNGGGGGGCAGGCGGGCGGGCAGGCGTGTCTTCACCGCTGTGGGTGCTGACTTGGCTCCTTTGTGGTGACAAGGAGGCCGTCCTCGGAGGGGAGCTGAGCTTCTGTGGCCATTAGCTTGCCGCCCGGTGGTGCAGGCACAGGGTCGGCGGCGTCAGTGGGGGAGATGCCTGGGGCCCCGGGGGGCCGGAGGCGAAACCGTCTGTGAAAGGGGCGACTTGGTGCTTGCCCACCCACGGCGAGGTGCGTGTCCGAGGACGCAGCCACCTCACGCCACCGTGCCCTGTGTCATCCCGCAGGTGTCCTTCGATTCCACCAAACACCTGAGCGACGCGTCCATCAAGAAGCGGCAGCTGGAGAGGCAGAAGCTACAGGAGCTGGAGCAGCAGAGGCGGGAGCAGAAGCGCCGAGAGAAGGAGGCGGAGGAGCGGCAGAGGGCCGAAGAGAGGTGCGGCGGGGAGCGGGGCCTCCCGTGTGTGTGCACATGTGTGCATGTGGGAGGTGTGTGCACACGTGTGCATGTGGGAGGTGTGTGTGCACGCACATGTGGGTGTGCACGCGCGTGTGTGCATGTGGGAGGTGTGTGCACGTACATGTGGGTGTGCGCACGTGTGGGTGTGTGCCTGCGTGCATGTGGGAGGTGTGCGCATGTGTGTGGGTGTGCACACGTGTGTGCATGTGGGAGGTGTGTGCACGCACGTGTGGGTGTGTGCACGTGTGTGCATGTGGGAGGTGTGCGCACGTGTGGGTGTGTGCATGTGGGAGGTGTGTGTACGCGTGTGGTGTGCACATGTGTGCATGTGGGAGGTGTGTGCACACGTGTGGTGTGCACACATGTATGCATGTGGGAGGTGTGTGCACGTGCGTGTCTGTGCAGTGGCTGCTGCAGACACAGCAGGGTGTGTGTCCAGGACTCCACGTCCCTCCCGGGAACTCATTCCTGCCTGGGACATGGCCTGGGCTGGCTCTCCTGACCCGCGTCCCTTGTCCGCCCCGCTGCGTCCTGCTGAAGCCAGCGCAGTGTCTCGTGCGGCGTTTAGGTTGATGCTACGTTAATGGGAGGTAGGGAACCGGTGACGTCGGCCAGGTTTTAGTAAGAAGTGGTTCCTGGGACAGAGGCCGTAAAGCAACAGACATTGGAGGCCCAGCCTGGTCCCCCTTTGCCCCCTTTCATCTTGTTTTTGTTTGTTGTGCGTGTCACGTAACCCATGGTATGACCCAGATCGTGGGGAAAAGGAATTCTTCCTGTCAGTCCGCTGTACTTTGGGCCTTTCTAGCATTTCCGGTGAGTTTCGCGGGCCCGTTTCCGGCTGTGATCTGCTGGCTGTTGGGTCTCTGGCACCCGGAGGACGCAATTGGCTGGTTTCGTCTCTGACCACTTTTTGTCGCTCCCTGTAGAGCTGCGTGTCCCCCCGGTGCTGGCGCCGGGTTTGTTTCCACCCTCCCCTCAGCTCGCGTCCCCGAGAAGCGGATGCATTTCTGCATCGAGCTGTGTGGACGTCTGCTGCCGAGCCTGGTGTTAGGGTGGCAGGTGTGGACTGTGTGTGTGATTCCTCAGCCAGCCTCCCCCCCGGCCCTGGGGGACGGTCGGTGTGCCACCAGGGAGGAGGCCGCAGGTGTGGGTGGGGTGGGGGCCGTGGCATCAGCTGTGTGGAGCCCGTCCTTTGGGCAGGTGGCCTGGGGAGCGTGCAGCGTGCGCATCACAGCCGCCCTCGGGGCAGCTCCGGGGGAGGCCAGGTCTGCACGGCCTGAAACGCCAGCTCGCTGTTCTTGGGCAGAAGCAGGAAAGCAGGGCGGAGACTCATGGGAGCTGCCTGCAGAACGCCGGCCCGCGTCCAGAACGGGCCCTGTCCCCACTCTTCCCGCGTAGGCTGTGACCACGGACGCTGCCGTCCGTCCTGCGGAAGTTCCCTCCACGCTTCGCAGAGCAGCTGTGCGGGCTCCTTGGAAAAGCCATTTCCTTGACCTTTATGGTAGCAAAGAGCAGGCTGGGGAGCGGGCCTTGTCATGGCCCTGAGGACAGGCCACCCATCTGCGTGGGCCTCGCGGCAGACTCCGTCCCGGGAGGCGTGGTGGGGACACGGGGTCCCTTCCATGCTGCCCATGCTGCGTGGGCCTCACAGCAGACTCCGTCCCGGGAGGCGTGGTGGGGACATGGGGTCCCTTCCACACCGTGGTGCCACGGAATGCTGGGTAGGTCCGCCGTGAGGTGCCGGCTGGGGAGGCTGCCCTTTCTCGGCCTGAGCCTGCAGGCTGGACCGGGCACCCCTGCGTCTCCCCACCAGCGAGCATGTTCGTGTGAGTGGTTGGCTAACGAGGAACAGAGCGTAGCCGTAGCCGGCACATGATGGCCTTGGAGACGGCAAACCTGGGGTTCGGCTCTGGGTCCCTGGAGAGCTGTGGTCATTTACAGGTTCCACGGGGCCACCTTGAGCCTCAGCTCTTGAGGTGTGTGGGGCTCGGACCCCTGGGGCGAGGGAACCCGAGACGGGCCCTCAGCACCCTGCCCCGCTCCCTTCCTGCTGTTGAGGGGAGGCTGCACCCCCTGCTTCCTCACCCCGGTGCTCGTCACGTCCTCGTGTCTCTCCGGGTCTGCATCTCCGTGCACCTGCTGCCTTCAGGTCCCCACTGTGTGTCTCGTGCTGCTGGAGCCGCTTTGCTCTTGTCACTACGTCTGTTGGTTACTTGGATTTGCTGCGTAAACGTGCCTCGTGGTTCCTCCAGGCTTTCCCAGGGAGGGTCTTCGGTCTCGTTACATTTGGTTGCGTTCGGATCCTCCATCTGTTCGGAGCTAAGTTGTTTGGGTTTGGGCGTGGGCGTGCTGTGGGTTCATTTTAAAGACACGTCGCCATGTCCAAGGCAGGTGTATTTAGTGGTCTCGCAGGACTTTTGTGAGACGGAGCGTGCTTGTAGGGACCCCTCGATCGGGGACACACCCCACGGCGAACCGGCCTCGGTTAGCTGTCCTTGTGGGTTTCCCTTTTCTGGAACGGGATTGTCCAGTATATGGTCTTCTGTGTTTACTCTTACCCCGAGCGCGATGCTTCCGGAACCTTCCTGTGGCCGTGCACAGTGGCCTCCTTCTGGCCCTGCTGTTGCCCTGGTGCCACAGGGCCTTCCCCCCCACGGGGGCATGTTCGGGCACTTAAACCTGCGTGTTAGACATTGTTCCTCTGAGCTGAATTCTCCGTGACCTCTGCTGTCCCGGGTCTTAGGCCCAGACGGTCGCCTGAGGAGCAGTGTGTCGCTGGGCTCCTGCCCGTGGGGGCAGCGTGCCCCGGCGACGGGCTTGGCCCGTCCGCTGGCTCGGGGTTGTTTCCTCACTGTCAGCCCTTGCACCTGTTCAGAAGGTGTCTGTGGTTCAAAAGTGACGGCAGGTGCCATCAAGTCCATCGGCCCCCTTGTCCCCGCCTCACGTTTGGAGCACGCTTGGCAAGCCTGTCTCTCGAGAGACGGAAGCCCTCACCCTGGCGCGCCTGCTGCTTCTCGGGGTCCTTGGCTCAACCAGAATTTATTTGGGCACAAAGCGTTAAAACGATGAACCGCGCGGCCACCCTCCCGTTCGTTACCCGTCTTCCCCCCTCGCCTAGAAGACCACCCGCCCGATGTGCCGAATGTGCGCCTGCTGCCCCGTCTTCGCCTAACGGAGCCCTCGTGTGTTTTGCGCAGGAAACAGAAAGAGCTGGAAGAGCAGGAGCGAGAGAGGAAAAGAGAGGAGAAGCTTCGCAAGAGGGAGCAAAAGCAGAGGGACCGCGAGCTCCGCCGCAGCCAGAAGAAGCTCGAGAAGCTGCAGGCGGAGGAGCAGAAGAAGCTGCAGGAGCGGATCAGGCTGGAGGAGCGCAAGCTGCTGCTGGCCCAGCGCAACCTGCAGTCCATCCGGCTGGTCACGGAGCTGCTGAGCCGGGCCAAGGTACCGCCGGGGCGCCGGGCCGAGGTCCCGCCAGGGTGCTGGGCCCAGTTACTGCCGAGGTCCCGCCAGGGTGCCGGGCCCATTTACTGCCGAGGTGCTGAGCCGGGCTGAGGTCCCGCCAGGGTGCTGGGCCCAGTTACTGCCGAGGTCCCGCCGGGGTGCGGCGCCGGGCTGGGCCGAGGTCCCGCTGGGCGTGGAGCCCGGCTAGGGCGCTGCCAGGTCGTTGAGCCGGGCTGATGTACCGCCGGGGTGCAGGGCCCAGGTACCACTGGGCTGCCGTGCTGGGCTAGGGTACTACCGGGGTGCGGAGCCGGTCCTGCCCACGGGAGCTGCACCTCTGCTCTTAAACGGGCCACTGTCACGGTCCCTGTATGTCGGCTGGTGGCATCCAGAACTGGAAGGAACCAGGCTTCGCAGGGAGGGTGATCTGTCACCTGCTGTGGTGTAGGGTCCCTGCGTCATTCCGGATTTCAGTCTTAGGAAGCTGGTAGGGCGCTCACGTAGTGTGAGCTGTGTTCAGGCCTCCCGGGCGCTGGCCCGGCAGTCTTGGGGTGGCCAGGGCCGAGGGTCACCGTTTCCCCCCGAGACGGGCAGTGTCAGAGCTCGCAGTGAGTCACCGGGCCCCCATGACTCCGTTCCCACCGGGGGCGCACTGGCTGGGCCTCCTGGGACCAGTGGCCGGGGAGGGAGGATGGGGGCTGCGCCTGGTCCCTGGGGAGCCCAGGGCACCCCTGGAGCCTGGCCTGCCGCGGTCCCGCGTGGCGGCCGTGCCGCCAACGGCGCTTGGCCGCCTCCGTGTGTATGATGTCTCGCCCCGGGAGCCTGCTCGGGCCTCTCGGAGGCCCGGCCGGCCCCTCCCCGGAGCTGGCCGCGCACACGCGTGCCGGGCCCTGCCTGAGCTCCGAGCCGCGCCCTGGCGCTGTGGCGCCGGCCACCCCGTAACCTGTTGTCTAATTACAGTGTTGATAAGGCCCCGGGAGGAGCGTGGCAGGCGCGCCGAGACACGCGGCGGCTCGGTTCTTGTCTCATGGTGAATATTGAAGACACTGACCCAGGCCAGGCCCAGCGCGCCCCGCGGCCCCGGCGGCCGCCTCCGGCGGAGGTCGCCCCCGACG